GGCATTCCATCAGGGAGTGGAAGGTACAAAAGAAGCCTCATTAAAATGTGACCATCTCAGACATGTCACTGGAAACCAGCACAGTAGGCACCAGGAAGGCAAAAGGCCACTGAAAGGCCATGCAGAGATAAGTCCCATTACCTGCTGAGATGTTTATCCTCCTGAAGCAGCATTTCTCCCATAGTTGCCCATCCACCAGCTCACCAGGAAGTACTGCTCTCCACCGAGGCTGCCTTCTTGCTTCTGCACGCCAAAAAAGCTGTGACTCCCTTTGTTACTCACCTTCCTCGAGCCTACATGATTTGGGAGACATGAAGTTTGTTCAGAGATGTTATACAGACCTGTGAAGAGAACTGTAAAACTTGGACAAGCTCTCTTCACAACAGCCTTTCTGGTTTTTATCACCTTCATCTCCATCCCCAGCTCATAGATTTCTTTGCTCAGTTTCTTTGCATGGAAAAGCTGCGGTAGCAGCTGTGTTCAGCTTGTAGCTGCCTCTGTCCTGAGACAAACCCAAGGCAAACATCAGACCAGTGGGAAAGCCAACAACCATGGTGGTGAGTGAGCCAAAGAGCAGGCTGGGCTTTCTCTTCACCTGCCAGAAGGCTGTGGGGCTAAGGGTTAGCCAGCTTAGTGGAAAACCTTGGTGTGATCCAGCAAGCCGAGCCAGCCACCTTAACACTGTCAGGCTCAGTGCTGCTGGAGGTCTGGGACCAAAGCACCAGGTCCTAGGCCTGCCACCCCATGTGCTCCCGGCATGGGCTGGAGACCTGCAGCAGAGGGCATGGGGGAGATGCCTGTTGTCTGTGCTTATGCTGCACGACACACTGGTGGGGCTGTAGTTCTGCAGGGAAAAAGACTTTCAGAGGATGAAATCCTGGCAGGGGAGAAAATTCAAAAAATTGGGGGTTTTTTCCCCTCCCTTTTTGCAAATTTTTAACCATTTTTACTCCTTCCACAGAGGTTATTAAACCTGCAGTTTAATAAAGGAAGTGAGCCACCATTAAATAGCTTGCCAAAGGGTATGAAAGCAGATGCCACTTACATGTGGAGCTGATGGTGCCTAACATGAGACTTCCAAACCTCATTGTATATCCTCTAGCTGAGTCACCCTGTGCGCTGTGCTGGAGCTGGGGTGGGAGAGTCAGCACTGGCCATCATGCCAAACAGCCACAGCTTCCCAAACTTGAAGAAGAATCAGACCAGGAAGCAGGGAAATGAGCAGTGATGGTAGAAGGATAGCTAGTTGTCACAGATAATCTTCGGTATCCATGTCCAGTGGTTAGTCCCAGAATTGCAAGCCTTGTTATATTGCACACGTCCTCCTTCCATTCCTCTTTTCTCAAAGCAGCAATTGCTTTTCCTCCCCCCCTGCTCCATGCACTAGTGATGAGCGTCAGAAGCAGTTGCACCAAAGTGACTCTCAGCCCAGTTCAGCATCCCCCCTCTCCCACCCGAACAGTTGTTGGCCATCACAAGTCTAGTAGCTCCACTTGGGCTTCTTTCCTCATGTACTGTAGCTTCCTCCGCGCGCAGTCTAGCAGGGCAGTACAGGAGGCTCTGACCATGTCCCAAGGGGCTCCCTTGCCCCCTGGCAGCACCTTGCAGACATGCACCTTACCAGGAATGTACAGGGTCGATGCTGGTGAAATCTGGCACTGCCAAACTTGCGTAGGTGGCAGCTGATGGGGATCCACTGGGGAAAGCTGGCAGGAAGTGGCTACTGTCCCTTTTCATTTTTGAGGGAGAGGGGGATTTTTTGGCATTATTATTATTATTATTATTGTCCACTTCCCAGTGGCCAAGTTCTGGGCTCCATTAATTAATAATGGGGGTCAATTGGCTGTCCAGGCAGGTATGGAGCTTCTCACTAACCTTAATAGCAAATACCATGGCTGTATCCGGAGCCTGGATACAGGCTGGGTTTATCCCATGCTGGCAAAGTGCTTTCGGCAGGCTCCAGATAGACATTTCTGGCAGACAGGGAAACAGCACTCCGAGTCCAGATCAAATCTACACTTCCTTTGGAAAAAAGCTCCACCCAAGCAAATGCTTCCCAGGTCTCCTTTCCCCATGTGGTGCCTGGTGCCCCAGGGGAGGGGGTGGCAGGAGGCATTTGAGGGGTCACTGAAAGCAAGATCCTTTTTGGATGTATTTAATTGAAATATCTTTCAGGAGGAGAGACCTCCTGACCTTTGTGTTAATCTCAGAGCAAGAGATTGATTTCCACCTGTCCTTGCATATAGTGAAACATAGCTGAAACAGCCAAATGCAAAGTAGAGTTAAATGTAGAGTTTGACCTGAATAACCTTTTAATTAGGATGGTAAATTTGTTGTAGATTGACCTTAGTCCATGTTAGGAACCTGCTAATCATTTGACATGCAGAGTGTATTAATGCTGCACTTAACTTGGCCATTGGTTTTATTATCTGGTTTTGGGAGTTTTTTCACTCCCAAAGCATCAGTCTGCATCTTTATGGGGTTTTTTTTTTCTTTTCTTTTTTTCCTGATCAGAACATGTAGCACACTGTTGTACTTCTGTTCCTGTCCACGTAGAGTATTGCCTTAAACAGATCAGTTGTGTTGTGGTTTGTTTTGGGCTTTCTTTTTTCTACCATCAGTTTTATGCATTAATTTATTTAAAAATGTGGGTTGGTTTTTTGTTGGTTTTTTTTTTTCAAAAAACATGAAACATGTATAATATTTTTTTTAACATTTCCATTGCAGTATTTATCATTGTTACTGGTTGTGTGTAGTGTAACAGAATTAATGATATTAAAAAGCATACATATGAAAAACAGCCTGCCAGCCTTTCTCATTGGAGCGAATCGGGGTGAGAGGGTATGAACTGCACCACCTTCTCTGAGCCCTCAGGAACTGCAGATACTGAAATCAGGATGCCAGCCTTCCTGCCACAGTCAATACCAGCCTGCCTGGGTGCAGTAGAAGTAGCTGGTGTGGAGCTGTGCCATCGTGGGGCCAGCCAGCCCCCACAGCCAGCATTTAGGAAATGATTCTCCCCAAGGCAGTGGGAAGGTGTCAGGCTGGACCCAGCCCCTGCATCTGGACTGTGACAGAAGCAGAAAGACGTGCTGGATCTGTGTAACACCAATGGGTGAAATAACCTTTTTTCCAGCATTGCAGCCATTTCTGCCCCTTGAAGCTGTTGGCACAAGAGCCAAGCAAGCACTGATTTTAGAATCCAACACCAGCAACTGGAAACCCCAAGGACTGCAGGGGACAAGGGACAGCCATGGGGGGTCAGTGGCTCATGCTGGCAGCTGGTCTGCTGCAGGATAAGTCCCCACTCAACCAAGAGGCTTGGACTGCACCTCTCTGTAGAGCAGTGCTCCCCAGATCTGTGTCCTGGGGTGCTCCAAGGCTTTGGAGCTGAGGTAAGAGGGCCAGCAGCCCCATGTCCATCCTTTCTTCCCAGCCTCCCATGGCTCCCAGGAGGGGATGAGGCTGATGGAGAGCCTAAGGCTGGCTCAGAAACCATGTGGGATCTGAAAATCAATGGCAATTCGTTTTCTTCATTTAATCTCTAATGGTGCATTAATCACATTTGCCTGGAGGCATTTGAATGCCCCAGGCTGCCCAGCCCCACCGTCCCCCACAGCAAACACAGCAGTGCTGGGGAGCCTTTTTTTTTGGGGGGGGAAGGATGGGGGAGAGGTTGGCGTCCACCCTGCCATGATGGACAGGGTCTTCACTGGTCATCTCCAAAAATGTGTCAGCAGAGGGGCTGGAGGCAGAGAAGAGCAGGGCTCTGAGTTGGCACTGTGTGACAAGCCAGACCAGAGCGGGGTTTCTGCGGTGGCAGGGATTTCTGCTCCACTCCCCAGCTTGGGGAAAAGCAAACCCAGCTCATGCAAATCCCTCCCTGGCTACCCCTGCTGCCTCTCTGCACTGGGATGGATGAGGATCACTCACTGACTGCAGAGCCCATCACTTGGGACAAAAGAGCAAAGAAGCCACAAAGGATCACCTAAATCCAGCTTTTTAATTAAAAAGAGGAGACAGAATCACAGAATTGACCAGGTTGGAAAAGACCTTTAAGATCATCAAGTCCAATCATTAACCTCACACTGACTTGTTGACTAAACCCTGTCCCTCAGCACTATGTCTACATGACTCTGAAATCCCTCCAGGGATGGGGACTCCACCACTGCCCTGGGCAACCCCTTCCAATGCCTGAGAACCCTTCCAGGAAAGAAATTCTTCCTCAGATCCAATCTAAACTGCCCTTGGCACAACTTGAGGCCATTTCCTCTTGTCCTGTCACCTGTTCCTTGGTTGAACAGACCCACCCCCACCTCTCTCCACCCTCCTCTCAGGCAGTTGTAGAGAGCCATGAGGTCTCCCCTCAGCCTCCTTTTCTCCAGGCTCAACAATCCCAGTTCCCTCCGCTGCTGCTCATCACACTTGTGTTCCAGACCCTTCCCCAGCTCGGTTGCCCTTCTCTGGAATTTCCCTGGCTACCCCAGCAGGCCAGGATAGTGGCCTGGTGCTGTTCCAGACACTGGTGTGGTGCTGTGTTGCTGCAGGATTTCCAAGGAAATACGGGAGAGGGGCTGGAAAAGCCACAACCACTGCTTCTGCACCTCCCAAGATAAAATTACCTTGACTAGGACCAGCTGAAATTGTTTCCTACTGTTTTTGATGTAACTGACTGCAGGAGGGGAGGAAGCCTGGTGCCAGGACAAAGGCAGGAGGGTGCAGCTCATGGAGAGATGCAGGCAGCAATTCCTGTGCCCTGGGTTAGAACCAGAGTGTAGCTATGGGACTGACAGAAAGCCACCAAATTCCCCAGCTCTCACACTATGACATCACCAATGATAAAAGCACCACCCTGGGCTGGCAGAGTGGTAGGAGCAGCCCCGTTCCCTTTCCTGTGTGGGCTGCAAGCTCCCAACCCCACACAGTGCTGCTCATCCAGTGGGGCATCCTCAGGACCCTTTGGGACTTCAAGTGCTCCCGTCCCAGCAGGCTGCTGCGCCATGTTCCTCTTCTCCAAAAAACACAAGACCCCCATCAGCACTTACACCGACTCCTACCGCCCACCGTGCTCTGTCAGAAAGAACACCCAGGAACGGGCTTTACAGGAGCTCTGGAAAGAAAACAAGTTTGTAACAAAGGTAAATGCCGTGGGAGGAGGAGACCTCGGGCTTTCTACCCCTACTCAGCTGCGGATGCTCACTGCTGGGCAGGACGGTGGCATGGGGATGCATGGAGTACCTCACTGTGTGTGTGTAATGGGGGGGTCACGGTCCCTGCTTAGGGTACCATTTGATACGCCATGGCCTGTGCTCACTGGCTTCTTGTCCTGGTGATCACTAGTACAAGCTCTCACACATCAGCCCTATCCATCAGTAGGTTTCAGAATGCACAGGGGAAGGGATCTGCTGGGGAAGGGAAAATTAAGGCAGTGGCAGGGCTCAACGCAGGGCTGCTGTGTTACATGATGGTGATGGGGTGGGTCCAAAAGCTGCTCCAACACACGGCTCCCAGGCTCAGCTCAGTTCCAGCCCGAGGCCTTCCATGCCAAGGGACCATGTGAAGGGCCAGGGGAAGATCTGAGCACCGAAAAACCCCTCCCAGCCCTGCTCTTGGAGGAAGAAGGATACCTGAACCGTGGCCTCACTGCGAGGGGTGTCTGTGGGATATGCAGCTTTCCCCACGGAGGCTAACAAGCATGCAGGCTCCGATGCAAAGCACGCTGCGAACTGGCTCATCTCTTGAAGCCTCGTTAGCGTGTGCATTATAATGAGGGAACCAGCAGAGGGCATGGGGAAGGATGTCTCCACTGTGCAGGGACAGCAACCAGCTTATGCAACCAGAGCACCTGTCTGTCCCACAAGACTCCAGCTGTGGGACACTGATTTGATCCCATCACTCCTTTCCCAACCTCTGCTGGCCCCATACCCGGCAGCCCCAGTACATCCACCCTGTCTCCCACTCTGCAAAGCACCCAGGTGCCTATGGACACCCTGGGTGCAGGGGTAGAGGAGCCAGTGATGCCCAGCCATTCTCCATCTCCCAGTTTTGGGCAACCAGGAAGCTTTGGGGCGAGGACCATGGTGCTGCTATGACCTCCATGCTCACCCACTGCAAAGGGGGGCTTGGTGCTCAGATCTCCAGCTGTGTCTCCAGCATTAGACCCTTTTCAGTAATTGGTTTCACTGTGTGCCCCAACGCCTGCAAAGGCAGGTGCTGCCACATGGCCTGGGTGTCTCTCCCCACTGTCCGTAGGGATTAACGGCGCCCCCGGTGCAAAATCCAGCAAGCCAAGGTCCGCCCAGTCAGCTGGTTAAGTTGGAGAGGGAGGAATCCTTCAGGAAAACCATCGACCACGCTGCCTACTGGCCTGAGAAGTACTGGCTGGCCAGGTCTGAAGGTACCACCAAAGTCCCAACTGTCCCTCTGTGTCACACAGGGCACATCCCCATGGGGTTGGGGGGGCTGAAGGTGCTGGCAGAGGTTCTGTTCATCCCCTCTTTTGCATCCTGCATCCCCACCACAGTGGCAAAGGGACCCTCCCTCGGCACCTGCACTTGTGGCTTTGCTGCAGCCGCACATCCCGGCACTGACTGTCCTTGTCCCAGCAATGTCCACAGGTCCCCAGGGTTCTCTCCCTTGGTGGCCCCTAAATACCCCCTGGTGATAGGTGCTGCCTGGGGGACACTCTTCTGGCACCCCATAGCCCCAGGGACCAAGGTTGTGTGGGCAGGGATGAGTGACCAACAAGCTGGAAGTGGTGGGTGTCACCTCCATCACAGATCTTTACGAAGGACGTGGGAGCAGCCCCACTGACATGCCCCTGGCCCCATGGCATTGCATTTGGGAGAGACGGGGAACGGTCAGGACTCTCCATCCATCCCCCCACACCTCCAGCACCATAGGACACACTTGCCTGTTGCTTTTGCATTGCAGGGATGTACAACCCAGTTTTTGTCAACGAGGACAAATACATCAGCTGGAGAACAGGTCCCTACCACAGCACAGCATGGAATAACTACTCCTCTTACCTCACCCTCCTGCCCAAGGTAGAGTGCAGCCCCCCGGACCCCCCAAGCTGGAGCCACCTCGGGTGCTGCCAGCACCTTGGGCTCTGCAATGAAAGGGTGGCAATCCTGCAAGAGCTGCCATCGCTCCTTGCAGGAGACAAGGATGGAGACCTGCCTGCACAGACCACCTGTGCTGTACCCCCTAAAATCTACCTGCCTCAGACGATCTGGTAACTACGCTCTCCCTGTACTCTGGCTGTGCCTGTGCCATGCTGGTGTCCGTCCAGGTGGCAGGCTGGCTGCTCCTCCTCACCCTTACCCTCACCATCCCTCCACTTGCAGACGTGCTGCACTTGCTGCCATCCCTGCAGCCCGTGTACACTGTGACGGGGAGGAGACCCTTCCACAGCTACTACAGCCCCTGCTCTGGGCGCCACTACTGCCTGCAAGGGATAGACTACTACTCTGATGCAGCTGCTGCCATCAGAAGGCATCTCCATGAAATAGAAGAGACTGCTGTAAGGTTGGGATGGGATGGGATGGGATGGGTTGCTTTGGGTTGGGTGGGGATGAGTTGCCTTGGGTTGGGATGGGTTGAGTTGGGGTTGACATGACCCCCCTTGTCTTTAGAGCCACGACTCACCCTGCCTCCTCTGTCTCTTCCAGGAGCCACCCATACTGCAGCTACAGCCACAGAGCAGTGTTCTGTACACCTGCACATCACCTCCAGCCATTCTGTCCATACAGGAGCCCTAGGTGCAGACGGGTTCAGTGTGGGGAATGCTCCAAGTCGGTTGCTCTCAGAAAAGTCTGTTATTTTTTCCTAATGCCAGCCAGCCACTAGCTCTCTTCTTATTACTGTTTTATGCCAAATTGCTCAGAGGGTTATTCTGGGAATGATGGTGCAGAGTGCAGACCCCAAGGGGTGGCAGGTCCCAACACGGTGCCCATGTAGGCAGTGATGCAGCTGCTGAAACTCCATCTCACAGGCTAGGTGGACATGACCAGGGAGGGCAGGACACTGTTGCGATGCTGGGCTGTGGAGCATGTTGTTGCTGCCTGTGGATAAGCAGTTGCCAAATTTACTCTCAGGACAGGTGTTTCTATGCTTGGTCTCATCCAGCAGTCCTTGGGACTGCATGGTACCTGAAATTTTGCTGGCACCCCTGAGCCCAGCTGTGTGTAGCTTAGCACGTCCCAGATTTTGGGGCCACATCGATGTTTCTTGTGCTGCTCTTCTATTTTCTGCTTTCATTGTTTGCTCTTCTTATCCAAGAACCTGTTCCCTGGCCACGCTGTTCATTATGCGGTAATCAGCCCTGTCCTTCACCCGCTGCAGGTCCAGCAACACTTTTAATCCCCATATGTTTGCCTTTAGGATGTCTCCACTGCTGAGGCAGCTTTTTTCAGCCCAGGAGAAACAGCAAGGGGAGAGGGGAGGCTGTTCAAACAGCTTAGTCATCACTCTGCTACTGCATCAACCCCCTGCGGACCCAAATTAGGCATCAGGGTTTGCAGAAAATTTGCAGAAATTTGCTTTAAATTCCTGAGCCCAGAAACTAAAACCAAACAACAAGAACAATCAGGGAGCACTGGGTTCCCCACAGATGTTCCTATGCCTGAGCCTTGGTGAGGTGTTTCTCAAGGTCTTCTACACTGAGAAATAGATTTTACTAGACTGGCATGATGCTGGGAATGAAGCTTTTAGGAAAAGGACAGTGCAAGAGGGAGTGGGTGTTTACAGGGTAGGAGACCTGCTGGAAGCAGCTCACTGAGATGGCCAGGGAGCTTCAGCTCTTCCACCTGATCTTCACTTTAGCCTCAGCACTCAAAGACACACACCAAAGTGGATGGGGACAGCTGTGTGTCTGCTGCTCACCCCTAAGCAATGCTGGCAGCCAGAAGCAGGTTTTCTGCTCTTTTTCCTCAACAGAGTTTTGTCCTCTTGTGGCTGATAACTTTTTCTGCTCTCCTAGGTGGGACACAAGCCACTTCAGCACGACAGGAGGAGTCCGGAGAGGCAGCTACACCATCCACCCTGAGTTTATGTCTGAGGCTTACTATACCCCGTGCTGCTGGTGAAGAGCAAAGATGGGCTTTCATTAAAACTGGCTTGGGCAACTGATCCCTGCAGACCCTTTCCTACAGGCTGGGGAAGTCCCTGGGAAGGGGGAGAAGCTTCAGCAACCACTGGCTTGGTGGGAGCTTTAACAGGTTACCCTGTCACCACTCACAAGCTGGAGACCAAAGCACACAAGGAAAAGCTCTCAGGGCGTAGTAACACAGCCAGAAATAGAAGCAGTCGTTGATACCCGTGTTTGTCAGCTTCGTGCTGGGCTGCTCAGGACGTGCTCGCTTTTGCCAAGTTACCCAGGAAGAGCTGCCATCCATCTGGGATGCCGAGCACAGACACGGGCTAAATAAGGAGGGGGATTTGAAAGCAGGACATAATTAATGAAGGCATGAAATGCCCTTCTCTGACTAAGATCCAGGAGCACAGTGTCAGCGGGGAGTATCACCCAAAGCTTTCTATGTGTGCTGCAGATCATAAACCCACGGGGCTGCAGTCCCACATGAGGGATAGAATCATAGAATCATTTGGTTGAAAAAGACTTTTGAGATCATTGAGTCCAACTGTACCTGCCCACTACGAAACCATATCTCTGAGCACCCCATCTACCTGTCTTTTAAATACCTCCAAGGGTGGTGACACAGCCACCCCGCTAGGCAGCCCCTTCCAGTGCCTGAGAACCCTTTCACTGAAGAAATTCTTCCTCATATCCAAATTAAACTTCCCTTGGTGCAACCTGAGGCCATTTCCTCTTGTCCTGTCACATGTTCCTTGGTTGAACAGACCCATCCCCACCTCTCTCCACCCTCCTTTCAGGCAGTTGTAGAGAGCCATGAGGTCCCCCCTCAGCCTCCTTTCTCCAGGCTCAATAACCCCAGCACGGAGCCATCTGGGACTCCACGTCCCCATGGGGTGACCCCACTGACACACGGTACCACCCCAAGCAACACCCAAAACCCCCTTGGGGCAGGAAAACCCCACAGACCC